CCTCTTCTTCTAACCCAGGCCTTCTGCTCTGATCACAATGAACCAACTCATTTAGGAACCTGAGGAGAGGCTTCTCCAAGTTGCCACATCCTGGAAACATCACCTGGTCCAAGTACCAGTGGGTACAGCATCACGGTATCAGGATCCCTGGGTCGACCTGACCTCTGTGAGTTGCTTGGCATCTTTTGTCTGATTTCGTACTCATCTAGGTTTGTGACTGGAGCAAACCTTGCTCCGGCTTCTTAGGAGTAGATATCAGGGAACTTTGCACTCCCCCTTCCTCTCATCCCAGGCTAAGTGGGAATGGGAAGTGAAGAAGTGAATGGGCCGGGCTGCAAGGGGCTGAGGAAGGAGGAGCCCTGCTCTTCCTCCAGACTCAGCTTTGCCATGAGGTTGTGGCCTCTGTTTCCTTTGAACAAGATATAATTAGGGTCCAAAGGGCTGAAAGTGTTTTACTCTGAAATGATGAAATCATGGCAGGGAGAGAGAGAAGAGAGAACTGAGTGGAAAGTTTTCTTAACCAAGTCTTTACAGCTTGGCTTTCAGCCCCTGAACGCCTGCCACCCCGACCCACTCTGGCCAGTTTATCCCTTAGAAAGAAGCTTCTGAACGGAACAAAGAGGCCCTTAAGTGCTTCCCTGCCCAGCTGCGCTTCAGCCAAATGTCAAGCTGTTTACATCCCACGGGACCAGTTCCCTGGGGTGTTGACAGGCCCAGCCTGTGGGGGCAGGCCTGTCCAGGGTGTCCAAGACAACAGCAACAGGGCCTGGGGCGTACTCACTGCACAGGAAGCAGGATTTATGGAAGCTGTTGCCTTCGCACTGAACCTCTTCGGCAAAGTAAACCGTCTTCTGACACACCCCACATTTCTTGCCTCCTCCCCAGTTCGGCATTCTGAAAAGGGACACAGAAATGGGAATTAATTTTACAGGGAGATGGAAATATCTCAGATTGTCCATGACAGAAATTCAACAGCCAGAGCCGGAGGAGAGAAAGATGAAGGGCAGAATGCCTAGTGGGGCCACCAGGCCTGGCAGAGCACTTTCTGCTAGCTCTCGACAGCATCCTCACACGTTACTCAGGGATTTCCTCCCCCAGTGTAATCAATAGGTCTTTACGGAGCAGCTGCTGCATTTTCAGCCCTGTGCTAGGCACTCTGAAGGATATGGATCAGTAGAAGAAACAGGCTTTATAAAGAAGCCTGCAGCGACAATAAAAATGGACTGCCTACCCCTATACATGTCTCAAAGAGAATGTGGAAGGGAAGAAGCAGACAGACCAGAGCTGGGAAAACGCAAGTCCGTCCATTTGTATGAAATTCACAAATGGGCTAAACTCATATTGTCAAGGGATGGACACATGGGTGGAAAAGTTACTACAGAAAAGCAAGGGAATGATGATCACAAGCTTTTACCTTAGAAGAGTTACCTCCAAGGGAGGGAAGGGACCATGACTGGGTGGGAGACCAGGCAGGCTGGCAAGGCACTGCCTGGCAATGCTCTCCTTCTTAACTTGGATAGTTGTCATATGGGGGCTTACTTTATAATTATTATTTGAACTGTACATTGTGCATACTTTTGTATATAAGCTATAGTTCACCACAAGAAAAAAGGGTTTTTTTTGTTTTGTTTTGTTTTGTTTTTTTAAAAAAAGCAGGGCTGGGTGCAGTGGCTAATGCCTGTAATCCCAGCACTTTGGAAGGCTGAGGTGGGCGTATCACCTGAGGTCAGGAGTTCCAGATCAGACTGGCCAACATGGCGAAACACCGTCTCTACTAAAAATACAAAAATTAGCCGAGTGTGGTGGCATGCCCCTGTAATCCCAGCTATTCGGGAGGCTGAGGCAGGAGAATCACTTTAACCTGGGAGGTGGAGATAGCAGTGAGCCAAGATAGTGCCACTGCACTCCAGCTTGGGCAACAGAGCAAGACTCTGTCAAAAAGAAAAACAAACAAACAAAAAAGCACGGGGTAGGCACACAGGGCAGAGTTATCAAGCTTCAGAGGAGGCGCTTTTACAAAATCAGATTTAGTAATACCACCCCACATCTAATGAATTAGAAGCTCTGAGAATGAGGTACTTGAGAGAATGAGGTACTTGAGTCTGAATTTTTAACAAACACCCCAGGCAAACAAAGCAGGTGGCCTGGACCAACTTTGAGATGCTCTAGATGTTGGTTCAGATCTGGGGTCCCAATGCCAGGCAGGTTTGGCTCAATCTTGATCCTGTCACTCACTAGCTGTGTGACCTTGGGCAAGACAGTCAGTCTTTCCAAACCTCGATTTCTGTATCTGTTAAATAAGGATAA